CATCACAGTATGACGGGGTCTAATCTCCAAAACGTTATTGTGCATACGGCAATAAATATGTTATCAACTACGAACTAAGTCTCTCCTGATTGAAATACCTTTTGCTCTACGACGTCTCCACATGGCAAATATCACCACAGCAATTATCAGAGCAGCAGCCATCACGACCAGTGGAACGATCCAAGCTGCCTTTTCTGATAAAACAAACACAAAACAAAACCATTATCATCATGTCTCCACATCTGAGCAGAATCACAGTCTGCAGCCAGGAGACGCTTTGAGAGACTTCGATGAATCTTTGTACCTGAGGCAGGGCTGGATTTGGGAGCGTTCTTCTTGCACTCGGTGTTGGTGGTGGACGTGCAGTTCCTCACCGTCTCTTCATCTGGTGCACATCTGAATAAGAAGAGACACTCAGATTTCAGCCTTTGGACCATTGACATGCACTAAAACCTTTGAACTCCAGGAGAGGGGAAACCCCCCAAAGAGGAGAACAGGGCCTCTTTAAAGCATCGTACCATTGGAATAAAGAGCCTCATAAAACAGATGATTCCCCCCCCCTCCACTTCCTCTGAATGAACCCCGCTCTGCACACACTCACCTGGAGCATCTTCTGCACACTTCACAGGCTTCATCCGGAGAACAGAACCTCCCCGCTCTGCACCGACATTCAGATTCCTGAGTGTGAGAACACCGCCGGGCCACTTCCTGATCTGAGACAGAAACACCACACACTCAAAGCTGGTATCCTCAGATGCACAAAAGCTTCAGGGTAGAAGTGATAATGAAACTCTTCTGACCTGAGCTCCTCCAACAATACAACATAATAACATACAAAAATACAAATGAAAGATAGTGCCAGAAGTCTGTGTACATGTCGATAGAATATGATATGTACAAGAACAGAATACAGAATACATTAAATACGGTTTATTGCGGTGATAACTATTTATATAAACAAGGTAGACCCTCCAGAAAAACGCGATTCTGTGATCGCAGAATTTACCGCATAGTCAGCAAAATGGCACAGATTTTTAAAAGGCTGCATAATCCCCGCATTTTTCCACAAAGTTGAGAAAAACAGTTAACTCGTCTTGACGTGACGTCATCAGCTCGCGCATCACAGAATGTAAACAACACTGTATAGAGTGAACGTGTGGAGCTCACACGAGAGAGAAAACACCAAGATGAAAAAATCTAATCCATCTCATTTACCGACGAACATTTCTACTAAAGACCGGGCAAAAAGTGGGGGGAAACTATTCTGCACCCCGTGCAACTGTGTGTTGGAGCATAAGAGAAAGTCGACGGTGACGACCCACTTTGATTCATTCAAACATTCGAAAATGCTTTCTGCTGCTGCGGACAAGAAAGCCAAACAACTCACGTTCACCGAGGCATCAACCTCCAAAACTCTTTAGAGGGCTACAAGAAACGAAGTGAGTAGCCTACAAGATTGAAGCTGGTCAGATAACGAACGAGTAAATGAAAACAGAATGAGGCGGAGAAGAGTGTGTGTGTGTGTGTGTGTGTGTGTGTGTGTGTGTGTGTGTGTGTGTGTGTGTGTGTGTGTGTGTGTGTGTGTGTGTGTGTGATTAAA